CGAAAGTATATAGGAACGAATCAGCTACTTTGTCTTTCGACTCCGATGGCATAGCTAAGATTGTGTAGACGTATAGAGAAATCCTTCTTTAAGGGCTTCGGCGATTCCCTTTGGTTCTTACGATAATATAAAAAATGTTTTAACATTCTATGTTATTTTACCCGTGCGCTTTTTTATAATTAATCGCTTTCTGTCCCTGAGCTGTTGCTTTCACCTTGTAGTTCCTCTATGGCTTGTTTAATCCTTTGTCTGCCTTTCGCCGGTGAAAAATCATTGCGACGTGCATAAGCAAGGTACATGTCATCTCTTTCACGCGAAACTTGAATAGCGAAGTCGCCATGGACATCTAAATGCTCTTCGGCATATGTTGTAGTTTGTTTAATTTGGTAACAGCCGAAAAATAGTTTTCTGAGATCATCTAAATCCATCTCGCGAATGTCAAAATCAATTGAATCGATTGGCAGCCATATCTGACGTGTGTTCAGTTTGCCAGACGCAACTTGTTCTAATAGAGTATTGTTTTGTGCTACGTAGCTTTTCATCAGTTCTGCGAGTTTTTTCATCTTCCTCACTATTTTTGTTTTGTACTATAGCGCCTCTGTATTTATTCAAAGCAGCAGCGGTAATTCTAACACATTGTTCTAGTTTCGGCACTAGTTGATTATCGATGCGTTCTGAAAGTAAACAGAATTTTTTGAGTCTTGCATGAAATGATTCGACGACCCATCTGACTTTTGTCACTAGCCTCGATTCGTTAGCTTCCTTGGTTCCTTGGCAAATCTGCTCAACTATCTCGTAGAACAGTTCTAAAGTCGTATTTTGTAAGTAAAAATCCAACTATTTGTGAAAAATACAATGTTTGTATAACTCATATTTGATCCGTTGGAATTCTATGGTTAAAAGTTATATTTTGGAGAGATTATTTTTGAAAATTTTTTTTATGAAAATGAAGCTCAAGCAACGAGTAATCATTTCTGAAAGCCGCTAACGTGTAGACTTCTTCATTTCTGAGATATGAGTACTTTTGTATAACAAGTATGTCGGTTACAAAAAACCTCTGAGTTTTTCCTATTTTGCTCTTATTTAAGTGGCCTAAAAAATTAGTAGACATAGCCATAGCTAGAAATGTAGAGGAGACGACGAGGAATCCGAATCTGGTCTCAAAATCTCCGAGAGAGCTTTCGGTCAGGAGATATAATCAAAACAAGAAAACAAGTCCACATCAATATATGTAGAGAAAGATGGTGTACGTTTGGGGTGCGGGAGAGGTCAAATCTCAAAAATTTTGTTTTCAAAATGTTCCTCGTCATGTAATCTATTGGAATATATGGGTCGTTTTCGTGTAGGAAGGGTGGCAGATTTCGTTACTTATCCGGCGTGGTTCTTTACTGTTGAGCTAGAAAAAGATAATAAATTAGTTTTCTTAGATGTACTCATTGAAAAACATCAAGATCATTTAAAAACATCAGTCTACAGAAAGAAAACGTGTACTCATTTATACATGAAATGGGATTCATGCAATCCAAAATATCAGAAAATCGCTCTAACAAAATCACTTATCACTCGAGCAATTCGGATGTGTTCAGAAGAAACTCTATTAAATATTGAAATCAATTGGATTAAGATGGTGCTATATGAAAATGGATATCCAGCACGATTGTTAGAAAGAATTATTAAAACGACATTCAGAAGATATACTAATAATATCCTTTTTAACCCGTCGAAGTAAATAAATCTCAAAGCAAAGTAGAAGGCACTGTTTGTTTCTATTACCTGGGTAACGAGCCAAGAAAATTTGTATCGAGCATAAAAAGAACTTTGCTTAAATGTGGAATTACAAACATTAGATTTGGTTTTAAAAAATATCAAACAATAGGCAGTACTTTCTCACATAAATATAACGGTAAAGATGAAAGGAAAGTAGGAGTTGTCTATTTTATAGAGTGTAATGATTGTGCTAATATTTACATCAGTCAAACTGGAAATGAAATTGATACTAGAATGGATCAACATAAAAAGACACTAAACAAAGTAGATCCCTATTCAAAACTGTTCGTTCATGCCACTGAAAACAATCACACATTGGAACTTGACAAACCATGTGTTTTGGCTTATGAAAGAAATGAAATCAAAAGATTACTAAAGGAGACACTGATAACATATCAACATAATAGCCTGACATACAATGATATATCACTAAAGACGGTCATATTCAACTAGACAAGAAAAGAAAAGAAAAAGTAGAAAAATAGAGAAATTACAACTAGAAAATTCCTTGTAGAAAAATCTCTGTATATATTTGTCTCTCTTCTCTCTCAAAAGTCATTCGCCTGATGATGATACTGTGATAGTGTCGAAAGCTCTGTTTGTATGTAAAATGATTTTACTTAAATTCTTTTCTATAATTTTGAATATACCTAACCTATACTCACGTTCTAATCTACGTGCATTTCTTTTTTGTATAAACAAAATATATTCAAAAGTCAAAAAAAAGATAAGAAAAAGAATGTCTGTTATACTTGAAATATGCATATTTTAACTTATGAGGCATATCTTTTCTTCTTCTTGTAGAGAATAGCAACATTTCGCGGAAGAAGTTGGGTAAGATAGACTTTTCGTTGTGATTCGCCTAAAAAATGTCATCTTTACTTTGACAGTATCATTTGAGGCACTTCTACTTTGAATTGAAAGCTGAAAGTTGCAGGGTAGAGAGAACAACGCTGGTACTATCTACAGTAAAAATTTCGTATTGGTATCTCAATTGCAAGTACTCATTTGGCCATGGACAACTTTGCAAGTACCCAATCGGCCTGATGTAAGACCACGGAGTTTAGTTTGCATCTCTCGAAGCTAATTTTTTCACATTCAGATAGAGCACATCGAATTACATATAGACAAAGTATTTCCAGCCCTCCAAAACACAATCGAATCGAGATAATAGGGCCAAGACCAAAAATACCGAGTTTTAGGCCAAAAATTGTCATGGTCACCATTCAACGAGAAAACATTTTTATGAGCTGCGGTTGGGATATTCGTGATCACCGTGCTCGAACCTATAGGAATAGACATTATTTTTATCAAAAACTGGAAAAAAAATTTTCGAAGTCCCTGATGGGTATTTACCCTAAAAATTTTCGGAAAACTTTTTTTGTCGAATTTCAAAAATGTAAAACGACAGTTTTGTTCAGAATTCGATGCTGATTCCGAAAATGTATAATTCATGCCAATTTATTTTAGGACGAAAAGTGATCATTTTGGCACCCGTCCTTTGTACGAAAAGAGAGAAGTCAAAAGGTGACAACGAATTCTGAGCATTACATAACACGGTTTCTCTTTCTTTTAATTTAGTTAGAGATGTACAAGAGAAAAAAGGGGCTGCAGTAGGGCATAGAGTCATTTAAACACTTCATTACCATTTTTTAATAAGAAAATGTTTCCAATCTTTTTCCAACGTCCGCACTTTGTAGATTTCCGTTCTTTTGATTTTGTTCAGTCATAAATTTAATGATATCATTTAAAACAGGAACTATTACTTTAAATAAACAATTTTCATGACAACGATATAGTACATCCAATTGCTTTGTATTAACATTAATTTCTCTAATACCATTTGATAACAAAGTAATCTGTTTTTCCGTACCAATAGCAAAATTACTCTGATCTATCATAAATTGTTCAAATTTATCTGACCTAGATGCTGCATTTTCTAATTTATCATTTAATTTTATAATGTTTAGATTTAACTCATTCAATTTTGTTAAGATTACATTATTGTTATTCATATTATTGTAAAACTTGTTACTACCGGTAATCATTGATCGTTGAGCAGCATTCAGAGGCGGAAAATCTGAAGAAGATAGATGGAATTGAGCACCAGGAGAAGTTTGGGGAACTTGAGAAACGAATAAAAGACGTTTTGTTAGGTTAGAACAAAATTCTTTTACTTTTGGACGTTTTAAGTCATTTGAATGATGCCCTTCCCCACAATGAATGCATTTTTGTTGTTGAGAGCAAACATGCACTTTTAGATCCGGACAAATCAACCCACGAATTTTGCACATTTCGTCTTGTTGTTGACATTTTTTACGAAAATGACCGATTCCCATGCATTTGCTACATATGAGTACACGAGCTGGAGCTAAAAATTCTTCAGCTTCATAGGTTACCGAGTCTATTACAATCTTACCATGATTCAAAATTTCGTCTCGCTGCTCTGGCTTTGAGAATTCGAGTTTAACCAATTTAATTTCATTTTGATACCGATTTTTCATTCTAATTACATTTTTAATATTCTCGTACACCTCTTTTAAATCTCTTGTAACTTGAACAAAATCCATATGTAAACCAACATTTTTAACAATAAGAGACAATTGCGGGGGGATCGATGACGATGACGGATGAGAAAAAACTTGACCGTGGAGAGTTTGCGGCCAAATGAGATCCTCGTATAAATGTGCAAAGGAATGACTATCCTTTACGAATAGTAAAATATCAACTTCGTTTGACCCACATTTACGAGTAGGATGTAGGGGTGCTAATTTAGTGTTACTTTGGAAAATAAATGTAAATGAATCATTTATAGTTAAAAAATAAATGTAAATAAATGAAAAAAGAATTTATCTTTATTTTATAAAAGTAAATGATTCATTTATATTTATTTATTTATTTCTACCTTTACTTTTTTATTACTTTTAAAAATAAAGGTAGAAATAAATAAATAAATATAAATGAATCATTTACTTTTATAAAATAAAGATAAATTCTTTTTTCATTTATTTACATTTATTTTTTATATATAAATGACGAATTTATCTTTATTTTTTAACTATAAATGATTCATTTACATTTATTTTCCAAAGTAACACTAAATTTAACACCCCTAGTAGGACGATGAACTCCCACAAATTCAAAATCTAATCCACGATTTTGTTTCAAGTGTACACACAAATCTTCAGCAACCTTTTGTTCCTTGATATTAGAAGATGAGAAACCTACGACAAAAGGTTGAAATGGATAACGTGATTGGGCGTAACGAGTAGCTTCAAATGAAACTGTAGATTGTTGACTATTGTAATAAGAATTTACAGTTGTTCCATTAGCTGTTGTACGTTGATTTAAAGGCGATTCGCTATTGACTGTTGACGATGAGGTTACTGACACTCCATTATTTACTTGAGACGATAAAGACATAAGTGATGGAGGTGGAGAACGAGCCAATTGTCTCTGTACAGGAAGAATTGAACGACTGGGGTCAATATTTTTTGATTTTTTACCATTTACAGTTCGAAATTCATCCTCGATTTCATCAAAATCAGAATGTGTACGACGAATTGATCGAGCAGACGAATTACAGGTGCCAAGTTTGCATTGGAAGGAGGAGGAACACGAGTTTGTTGATAATTTGTTCTGTTATTCCTATACATTTGATAAGTGTCACCGTGATAATCATTCAACATGGTACGTGAGTCACCAACGATTTGAGCAGTAGTATTTAATACATCGTAACGATTATTCTGGTAGCCATTGTTATAAGAATTAGAATTATCCCGGTAATTGGCCGACATTCAAGTCATTAATTACCGGAGAAGTCGAGAAAAAAAGAAGAAAACTCGATCACGCACATACACATGTGATCAAAAATGTGTACTATAGTAAAAAAAAAATGTATATACTACAGAGAAGTCAGTGCAAAGAAACAAGGAATACACGGCTGTCTAGTAGGAGAAATTGTGTAATACGAAAAAAGAAAAATCCTTTTTATTTTGCTGTCGCACAGTTACAATTTTTCTCCATGCATTTTTGGTTATCAAAAATAGTTCTTCTTTCTCCTGAAATACAGGGGCTTTCTCACTGTATTGACTCAGTTAATATTTGCTGTGTAAAGATCTCAAAATAAAACTGCACAGAAGTGAAAAATACATGAAAGGTTGGTGTTATAACAGTTGTGAGTACCCTCGGTGTAAGATCGCTTTACTGTTAGTGACTATCAGGATGTAGCGATGATCAGTTCGGTTCTGTCTGTCGCACAGAGGATTAGGGCTCAACCATTCCGCCTCATCCGCAGAATATTAGATTGGCTCTAATAACGACTCTCTATTCATACTTATTTTTCCTTTTCAGATAGAGATTATACGACGATCATCTTGATGGTGTGCGATAATGTTGATTTAAAATACTTAAAACGCGACAGGTGGGTAGTCACACTATTCCGAACAGGCGTCCTTACCGGTCTTTTTCTGCGGCGTCCGGACGTCGTCATCCTGTTCAAAAGTGGCACTTTGCCCACACCTTTTTTGGTCTTGGTCACCCGTTCGTGGCCCAAAAATGGACCCCACTTTTCAACCGTCTTTTGTTCACGTAGGTAGCCAAACGTTAAAAACAGATGTGCATGAATCAGTGTGCATTTTTCTTATATATTGTAACGAAAAAACAGGCGTACAAGGTTTTATCGTTCTTTTTCACATTTATGAAAAAGAAAGAAAGAATATAGTTTCCGTTCATTTCTGTATCATAGTTGTGCTCTCTGTGGAAAAAAAGATGAGAAGTGTATGATTTTGCTACAATTGTAGAAACGCACTATTTTGCTTCCAGTTGAAATGAATAAAACAAAATTATATTTTGTATTTATCCTTTTGTAGTGAATTTTCAATCGGATTTTTAACGCAGATATGGGGGTTTCCGAAGGGTTCTGAGAGATTTTCAGAGAGTCGGTTTTTCAGTAAACCTCGTCATTACTGTGCGACCCTTCATGAGGCATCGCAACTGAATGCGCGTCGAGTTCTGAGTAAGATGAAATCCTCCCGGGCTTTCCAGCGTCTTTCTAGGCTGAGTTATTGACAAATCTCTTAAAGGATTTCGGGTCAGCTGGATCTCTGAAAGTAAAATGGTCTTATCTCAGCCTGGAAATGTGCTAGAAGGCTCGAGGACGTCTCATTTTGCTCAGAATTTGACACTTTGTCCACATGATGCGCTTGGGTCGATAAAGATTTCCGAAAGGCTCTTGAAGGTGAGAACCTCAAGGTTCGAGTGATCAGTGTTTGATCAGCTACAAGAGTTTAAGACTTGAAGAAAAGTCATCGAATGAGTGCCTAGATGTGCTTCACGATGCTGAATCCAAAAATCGCACCGGTGAGATCAAAAAATGAAAAGATCAGGAGATAATCGGGCTTTTTCTGAAAAATCGTTTTTTCGAGGTTTTTGACGCCCTCACAGTATTTTGAGGCTTTCTGCATGAAAACTCGGTCAAATCGAAAAAATAAGATCAGATTCGTGATCAGCAGCGTCCGACGAATCAGAATATGTATTTGAAAACTCAAAAGCTTTTCTACTTGATTTTTGCATTAGATGCACCTTAAATCAACCAATATTTTGACTAAATTATGTTTGCAAAATCGTTTGTTAATAAGTACGTCAATCAGTTTGCACAAAAGTGTAACAAGCTCGAACTGATCGCATCGTGTACTTGTTCTACCTTTTCTTTTCTATTTCTATATTTATTTTATCGTTTTTGTTTTCATTTACCACCTTTATTTCTTATGTTTAATATATAAGGAACATCAAGTCTACTACATAATAACAAAAATTCGCATTGAATCCAATTACAAATATAACACTATTATTAGCATAATTGTACGTATATCTATCTTTTTCATTGCATTCTGTAGAACACATTATTCTAAAACTCTGTTTCTATACAGATATCCCACTTAAAATGTGGATTAGCGTTTTTTTCTTTTTACATCCAAGCAAGAGCCGTTTAGTGGTCAATTTTTCTAGAGTATACAAAATGTTACTCTTATTCAAGTAAATGAAAGCAGGTCAACCATGAATGTATGTATATAGTGCACATAAAAATGTCAAAATTTTGATATTACGATTTTAAGATAAATTTGAGTCTAAATTAGTAGTTTGAAATAAAATGGTCAATTTTTTCTGAACTATTTTGAGGAAATCTGGTATAACTGTTGACTATTAGGCATAAATATTTCTCCCAATACTATTTGCGTTGATCATTTAATAAAAATTACTTCATCAAACGACTATCACTTAAGTTTCATCTTTTCTGTATATCTAACATTGCATAAACTTTTTCTGTTATGTTTAACAAATTGTATTCTCATTGTATTTGTTTGAAAAAAAATTTTTTCCATCTATACGTATGGACATCGGACTGATAAGCTTTTTCTCATGGACTAGGACTAACTATTTTCGCAGGCGTGACTAGTTTTTTAGATCACTCCGTCAACTTTTGAGTTTTAGTGTAGAGAAAAATCTTTGATATAGGTACACATTTAAAGAAACTGTCATTTTGGTAAAAAGATACTGGACAAAACACGTGATCATAGAAGTGAATGGGAAAAAATGTCTAACTCGGACTGACTTTGGATTGATGTTTATAGGACTGCGACTGAACTGGGGAGTGAAAAATAGCGGACTTATTGATCTCTGATACGTACTAATATTACAATGAAGTTGATAACCATTTTACTCAATACCCTCTATCGTACGTATATGTAATTTACTCTAAGAAAACGAACGATCTGATCGACCTACATTTTTCTTTTTTTTTTACATACTTTTTCTTTCTTTTTCTCTTCTTTCTTCCAATATAAAAAAGTGTGTAGAGTTAAAGCAAAAAAGGAGCACGTAGACAGAAAGCAGCAACAAACTCATTATAAATATTCGAAAAAAAAAAACGCAGAAAAAACACAAATATCGATCGACATCACAAATATCGACATTAAATTTTGGTAGAATAGACTACAATTTACCTATATATCCATAAGTAAGAATATTGTATGACCTTCGTTAATTTTCGTTCTGACGTACAATATGCACTGTACATACAGATCAAAATTACTATGGACTTAACAAAAACCTATAATCATACTAAGCTCTTTCTTATTCAAAAGAGTTCATAGAATAATCACAATTATGTATTACTCTACAGACAGTCATGCTATCTATTTTCTACACATAATCATTTGTGTCTGACTTCAGTGTAGTAAAACATAGAATGAACCGTAAAATGTCTTTCTTTTCTCTAAAATAGAACAACACGATCTCTATTCTTATTTATAATGAGTCTAACAACTGCTTCCTTTTTTTCTTATATATTTATCGTTTTTTTGTCAAAATAATAAAACAAAAAATAATTTTATTATTGTACGCATGTGTCAACTACGAGATGATGAAAATTCATATTTTAAAAAACTACTGGTAAAGTTGTACAGTTCATGCTTTCGAGAATCAACCGTAAAACTATACCCTTAGTTTTGCATGTTTGGCTTCTACTTATCCATTCTGTTCTTGCTTTTTCTTAAGGGTACCCTCACCCCCTCTTTTTTGACCCTCTTGGAAACTGGGGACGCCGATGTCGGATCGGGATGAAATTTATAACAGAGATAGAACATCGAAAAAGAAAAGCAATGTATTTTTGCACAGAATTTTGTGACATGTTTTTCTATGGGTTTTCATCCAGTCACATTACATTTTTTATACATTTCTGGACAGTTCTAACGTAACGATGCCAAACTTTTCTATGACACAAAGAGAATAGAGCCGTCAATATAATTCGCACTTGTTATTTGCATAGCATTATTTTCACTGCACTATCATACTTGATCGTAAATTCTACTATAGAGCCCGAAATGAATCGAATGATTCGACATTCGGTTTAGCTCGATTCGGCTACCTGTCGAACACGAATCGATCACTCAGTTAAAATGCTTTGATCAAACTAAGCTACAATGACATCGTATAAAGTAACAAAAGCACCATGTAATAACATTTTGTCCTTTTTTCCTGTTATAATGCTCAGAAACATATAATGGCGTTAGAAAGAGAAACATACAGTATCTTTTATCGAGTTATTAAGATATCTAATCAAATTCATTTTCAAAGATAGAATTTAGAGGGTATTGAGTAAAATGGTTATCAACTTCATTGTAATATTAGTATGTATCAGAGATCAATAAGTCCGCTATTTTTCACTCCCCAGTTCAGTCGCAGTCCTATAAACATCAATCCAAAGTCAGTCCGAGTTAGACATTTTTTCCCATTCACTCCTATGATCACATGTTTTGTTTTAGAGCATCAATGAATGTGGCACATAACCGACATTTGCTTATTTTTAGAAAATAATAAATCGAAAAACCAATTATGTGAATAGGACATTTCTTGTTTATATTCTTCTCCTTGCTTGTTTTGTTTTATTTCATGTTTCAAAGTTCTAGTCACATAAATAATATGTTCTGCTCAAATGTTCCAACTCGAGGCAGTATATTTTAAACAAACGTTTGCAAACAAAAGAGAAGCAAGCTTTCATTTTTATTGAACTGGCGTGAATTAAAATAGAATCGATTCAGGATTTGAAAATGTTGTCCCGAATCGAATCGAAACGAATCAGGATTTCCTAAGTCGTTCTAGTCTCTATTCTACTACAGTTGACAAATCCTGTTTAGACTTACAAGACAATACTTCCAGATTCCCATCGATGTCAATCTGAAAATATTCTAATTTTATGATTTTGGGGATCTAGGGTCTGTCTGAACGAATTTATCGATAATAATTTGGTTTGCATTTTGGACACACGAATGAGATGCTCTATTGGGCTTAATCTTCAAATTTTATAAGTTAGACATAAGGAAATAGTGCTCGAACAATTCATTACGCCACTCATTTGATTTCTTATTTGAACGTTTGTATTAATAACTGTACTGCTTTAACACAGGGTTATTCTTCTCAGATCCAAGAAAAGGGCAATAAAAGAAATCACTCTAACACCGTTCCTTTTTGACCTATAGTGTTTACTGACTCGAATGTATACCAGATGCACAGGTTCCAATATGCAATGTTTTGCCATTGATTATGATGCCAATTCCACTTCACAATCGAACCACAATAGTGACTTAGACAATGATGATAATGTCCCAGAAACTAAAACAAGAAAACCAAAAATTGCATTTCCATTTGGTCGATGGTAAATGGTGATGGTCAATTCTAGCTGCAATGCCAATGATAAGAATTTCTCTTTTCTAGCCGTGTATGCTTCGATAAGGCGACGGGGGCACATTATGGCCTTCCTACATGTGAAGGATGCAAGGTATAGAGTATTTCTTGTTTACGTTCGATGGAAAGACGAAGACTTGTCTCAATAGGGATTTTTCAAACGAAGTATATTACGGAAAGAACAGTATCACTGTTATTTTGGCAACTCATGCATCATTAACCTTGAAAGTCGCAACAGGTGTAAATCATGCCGATTCCAAAAATGTATAAAACAAGGAATGTCTGTAGATGGTATGTATGTATCTCTATCCATATATTTCTCAGTATGAGAAAAAGCATTTCTTTTCTCCACTTAGCTGTTCGTATGGGTCGAATACCTAAAGTGTTGAAAGAAAAAGCTCTGAGAGAACAACATCTTCGTGAAAATGCAGACAATAATTTGCAACGATCGGTGTCAGATGAAAATTCAGAAAATTATGATCCATCACTAATGGAAGCTGATCAAGGTCGGTGTTCGCTCTAATAACTTGATCGGGCACATTTTAGACTATTTTTGGATTTCTAGAGATAGCATCCACCGTGAGCGAAGTACCAGCGATTACGGTTGTTAAAACTACTTCTAAAGCTTCTCCAGTCGAAAATTGGCAACTGAATCAGTCGCTATCAAACTCATCATCATTCTTTCATACACCATCTCAAACACATTCACCTGCTCCCGGACATTATTCAACTTCACCTAAATTTCTCAAATCAAATTTCAAAAATCGACACCATTTCACTGACTCTTCTTATGAATCTTCACTAGAAAAAAGTCCTCAACTAAAATCAAATATATTCGAACGAGATGATTTAGCGTTCTTACCAGAAGATTTCAGTATGGACGAAACAAATCCAAGGTCCGATATGAATGCATGGATGAATGAAGCTGACCAAGCTACCGTTAGACACTTGTCAACTGATGCTTTGAAAAGAATAAAAAGAATCTCGATGAAAATATTAAAAGTGAATGTGTTTCAAGAACTCGACGAAGAAGAGTCAACGTTTGTGAGGTATCAAACAATGATTTAGTTAGAAAATGCGAGAATAATATAACTTAAATGGGTTTTAGATATTTGAGATGGACAGTTTACAATACACTCCAGCAATTCTCAAAACATGTCTACGAATTAAAACATCGAATGCATGTACTAGTCAATTTGGGGGTGAGTGCGAAGCCAGTAATGTTCACTATGCTCGATCACTTCATCCCTTAACTAAACAGAGTGAGTCTGTAATCGAAAGAAAGCAAAATATTAGTCTGGTAGATCCGTAAAGGATAGGACATATTTTGTTATGGACACACTAAAAAAAGTGTGCTGATCGTAATGTGCTTTCTCGAAGAATACTTTGGATACGCTCTGCTGGTTTCACATACTTGAAGTGACTATCAGCACTTCTGTAAGGTGCCGACAACCCAAAATTTCAGCACGATTTTCTTTCGCTAATTGGGTAGAGCTCACCGTGTTACCTAGAAAAGACAGATTAGATTCTTAAAAGGCATTTTTGAATGTAAAATTCTTTTCGTACATCCAAGATATCTCCGTCTTTTTTTGAGCTAAAAGCTTCGGATTGGTTTCAAAAAAATACAGAAATGTCGTTTCTATGTCATAACGTTGTTGGATGTTGTAATTTAGGTTTAGTTTAGGAGAAATTTCAAAAGTTTCCGAAAAGTTAGAGAAATATTACTTACGTTTTGAAAACTTTTGAAATTTCTCGTAAACTAAACTTAAATTAAAATATCCAACAGCGTCATGACATAGAAACAACATTTCGCTATTTTTTGAAACCAACCCGAACTTTCTAGCTTGAAAAATGACGAAGGAATCTTGGAAGAATGAAACCATACTTTTTCACCACTAATTTAAGAATAACTCTGGGAAAACAAGCGATAAAAGGCTGAAATGATTAGAATAACTAAGTTAACTCAAGGTACACATTGTCTGAAATTTTCATGAATATTCCTGGACAGAAATAGGTTTCTGAGTGGAGATGTCCCTTAACTAGAACCCTTCACCATCTTCAACATTCTGTTCAATATTCTGAAATGTGAACACTGTTATCCAATCGGCATGTCCAGACATGATAACTCCAACTCTTGTTTAGATTACAGAACATCCCGATGATAACGTATCAATATCCGAAGTGTACGCAGGTATAAGATGTAAGTATATTTTATAAGCTGTGTACATTGGATACGAAAGAGAAAATAATACTCTAATTGTAGCGTCCATTACGGTGCATGTCAAAAATATTATTAGTACATTTCGAAAGGTAACAAAAGTAAAGACGGTTAATAAATATTTTTCATCATATTTTGATGTTACTTTCAGATTCCTGGTGTCAACGAGATCAATAGAGAAGATTTTCATAAGATGATGTTGCATCGAGTTAATGATTATTATCAGGTGTGTTGTATTTCGAACAGTACAATACTAAAAGTCACTTTCAGCTTAGATAAACGAAAAAAGTACCATACGAGATATCTCTTCTATGTGCTCGACTATGTCGTTTTAGTCCAATAAAATATATTCATTTTTCTCTTTAATTCAGATCAAATATGCTTGTTTGTTAATGAATAATGAATGTTACGCTATTTACCCAAATGGTGTCCAGTATTCTCGTCGCAGGATGACACAACTGTATGGAACGGAGATGACCAATATAATATTTGAATTTGGCAATAAATTTAATGAGCTCAAATTAAATAATCAAGAGCATGCACTTTTATTTCCCATAAATGTTTGTAATGAAGGTAAGAAAGGATATGTACTATTACACTTTACACACTCATCATATGCTATTCTTCTTTCATGTTTAGATGAAACTCTTGAAGATCAAGAAACAATTCGGTCAATTCGTGTATGTTATTTATATGCCTTGTATACTCAAATGTGTACAACAAGAAAAAAGGAGGATGCAGAAATATTATTTGAACAGTTATCCACTGTAAGTAGCTATACTTATTTAAGTTATCAAAGCGAAAAGAAAAGAGTACTAAGCTATAGGTTAACTCAGAAAAACAGGCTAAACAATTGAAATTCTGTATTAAAGTTATTGTTTGGAAATTCCCATGTACATCTGTTTGACACAGTACGCGCATTACATTTTTAGGTTCTCGAACTCTTGAAGCCACTAAATGCAATGTATGAAGAGTCCAATGGAAATTTTCTTGTACCGAAAACTGACTGATTTCAATATATTATTTTTATTACGCACCGTTTGATAAGCAACGAAGATCAAAATACTTCCAGAGTTTATGTAGACACTGCTTTCTGATACAAAAAGAAGTATTGTTACTTTCTTTTACCGGTGTCAATGTGTTTGCTTTTTTGCTCAATCTGTTTTATTTTCTCGTCTTCTCTTTATCTAACAAAAACGAACATATATATATAACACAGCCACAATGTACCATTATTCTTCTGAATCTCTCTCGATCGATGAAACTACTGTGTTTTTAGCAAGCAGTTGTTCCTTTTTCTCGATGTGTTCTAGTGATTAGATTATGATTATTAGAATTCATACTCACGCTGCTTGACATTTTTGTTTATAATTTACATTGGCTGAGCACAGATCGTCGGTGAATGGAACCCGATAATTCAACTATGAATGTGCGATTTAAAAGGAAAGAAGTTCAGTGGAATAGAAGACAAAAAGAAAATAACAAAAACGAAAGATAAACAGATATTAAAGAAAAAGCATAGAATTAAAGAAGCAGAAAAAGGGGAAAAAGATAAAGTGAGCAATCTACCAACAAGATATAATTTAAAAAACATCTGTAGAAAAGATTATGTAAAATTCAAATAATTGTCAACGAAACAAATTTTCTAACTCAGTTAATTTTCTCTTTCAGACATCAAAAAAACAGGCTTCTAACTTAAAAACTGTTTTTAAGTAACAAAATGTAAGGTGCCACTAATGCAAACTTACAGCAAAGTATTTTTTCGATCTTACTTTTTTATATCTCATTGGATAGAGCGCGTCGAGCTGATTGCAAAACTGATTTTTCATGTCGAAAAATTGAAAAAACTCAGAGGGTCCCAAAAGTCGAAAAATCCTTCGAAAAGTTCGAATTTTTGCCTTATTTCTCTGTTTATAATTTTAAATTTTTTTTTCTACTTCAGCAGCGCTGAAGACTAAGTAGAAATATAATATTTAACTAGTTTCGAACTTAAAAACTCGGCATTTTTTTCATATATATTTATCGTTACGACCAGTTTCACCTCGACATTTTTTAATTAAATTATAATATTAATATAATTTAAATTCTTTGCTCTTATAATTATATATAACATGATTTCAAAGTATAAATGTATACTAGTGTAACTACATGTTAATCAAAGAATGAAACTTTCTCTCTGGTTCTTGTTTGAATTTCGTTTTCAATTCATTTTTCTTAAGTCTGTATTCTAAAGGAACCAAAATTACAACGAACGCGATGTGGTAAACTCGCTATTGACTGCCATAAGCCATACAAGTAGAACTAAAGTATCTTTTGGGCTTAGAAACTTTTCTTACATTTATAAGAGTTGATTGTCCGGCGCCAATTGGCCTTACGACGAAATATCAAGTAAATGTATCTGTATTGATTTGATTTACTCAATATATATAAATATATATATATATATATATTGAATCGAAGCAAAAACGCAATGCTCACAGCCTACGGGTGGAATCTGCTTGGAGCGGTACGTTAGAGACAGAGTCTGTCGACTTCGCAACTTGTGCGCAGCGCAATTACATTCTGGTTTTCCTTTGCGATATATTCGCCTCTATATGTTGAGAAAAAATTGATGATCTATTCTGGAACAGCATTGTTTGACTACTATGACTTCTGGCTTCCTCTTCGGGTCTAAGTACACAAATCTTACATTCACAGTCAAGTAGATCTACTGTTCAATGCCAGATCTAAAGAGGATAATTATTAAAAGACTGGTACATGTAGCATGAGTCTTTTTAAAGCTCAAAGTGGAAAAGAGTGTCTTTATCAACTGACACCTGATACCTGGTTTTTGTTAGATGATAGATAGCCGGAGAAGATATCATTTTCCTGCCTTTTTGATAATACTGATTTTCAAATTGAATCTAGAATCGTTTACTGTTTTCCTTTCTTTCGATCGTGTTGTGTTTTAGTCTAATAATATATATTTCTTATACATGCACATGTATATTTGTATATAGAGGGATGTACTATATTTCGTTTCTATTTTCCTATAATATGGTGGTGTGAGTTAACAGTAAGTGTTGAAGAATCCTGCAGCATTGTCTGAATTATTTCTTAAGCATTTACTATGATTCTTAATGTCAGGTAGAAATACACAGAAATATATACCAGATAAAATACTTTTGTCCATTCCCACAACGTATTGAGACGTACGTATTAGGTCATTGAAATATTATCGCTTACCTCGGTAGAGAAACTGCGAAATTACTCTTGAGAAGAAACAAAGTACGTGATGTACTTGAAGAACAAACTATTTTTTTTGAAAGTACAAGTATTATTGCTTTGTACTTGAAAAGCACGCAAAGTACAAATAAACGTACAAGCGTCCATGCTCTGTAACCAAGAAAAAAAACTATACGAGAAACAGAATTTATTCGTGCATAACTAGCTCCTCTGCTATAATATTGTTTATTGTTTTGTTATTTTTTTATGCTTATTAATTAGATTTAAAAAGTGGTCACAATCTGGAATGCACATATTCTCTCGTTTCTTATAGAAAAAAAATGTGGCCTCAATTTGGAATAGAGAGTTTGTTCTATTCACATACTTTGTACTATGTTTATCATTTGACAATATACAGGGTGTTCCAAAACCCAGTACTGAATAAAATTGTTTCATAAATTTTTATAACCAGGAATAATTGATTTTATAGAGAAACGTTGCAAATTTTATTTCATACAATCGAAAATTGCTTGTTAATATTTGAAAAAATGTTTCGGTTTATTATAGTGAGATTCAGATATTTTGGGACTCTATTTTAGGTTTCGCACATCGCACGTTTTTTGGTGAAAAGCTCCCGTAACCCTATGGGGCGCTTTTCAAAAACTTTCGCTCCAGGCTGGCCTTATATTACGGAGAGTGATGTACTATATTTTGTTTCTGTTTTCCTATAATATGGTGGTGTGAGTTAACAGTAAGTGTTGAAGAATCCTGCAGAATTGTCTGAATTATTTCTTAAGCATTTACTATGATTCTTAATGTCAGGTAGAAATACACAGAAATATCCAGGTCCAAAAAGACGGCCCGTTAACGATCAGTTAACCTCCAGTAAACGCTCACACAAAAAACGGCGCGTTAACTTTATGAAAACGGCAAAAAAACGCCCAGTAAACAAGCCGTTAACTTGCGGTTTTTAGTGTGGCCGTTTCACGTCCAACGATCGTCTGAAAACATCCATGGTCAGAAAACGGTCAGTTAACGGGCACCGTTTACTGAACGTTTCCAGACTATTTATTATTCACACAGAAGTTCGCCATTAACTGGCCATTAAAGGGCAGTTAACGGATAGTTTTTAGGCCGTTTTTCACATACACGATTAGAGATGCTTTTGACCGTAAATAGGCCGTTAATGGTCAGTTAACGGACCGTTTTTTAGAACTTTATGCTAGATCAATTTTAGAATGATTTTTGAATGTTTCATGACACATAGAGTACTTGGGGGTAATTAGAGACATTCTTGGAAATTTTTGTTGGTTTTTTGCTATTTCTTGGCCGTTTTTGATCTGAAAAACTTGCGATCATATTGGTTTCACACTACATGGGATATTAATTTAAATATGTTTTATGAACTAAATTAAACTCAGAATTAATTATGATAACTAGAGACTGACAGTTTTTATAAAATCTTCTGTTTATGGCATGTTCCCTATCGAATGCAAAAAGAATCATCTGAAAAATGTGTAAACTATGAAAGATAACACAAAATTATCCGACATATGTCCCATTTCAAGGACTCATATACAAGATGATATGAAGTTGTGGACAGCAGTAGGCATGCACCAGTTAAAAACTGTTGTTCGAGCGTCAGCTAAAGTTGGTATAAGTCGCCTATAAAGAATTACTCAGAGTCGCGGAACGTCGCATTTTGTAGAGAAATGTTTCTTCTTGAATACTCGGCTGTGAAAAGAAATCTGAAGCTATTTCTAACAAAAATGTGAGATTACAGATAACGAAATATTTCTATGTATAGGCGATTATAATCCAAACATTTCTCTACAAAATGAGACTTTCGGCGACTTTGTGTATTTCTTTATCGAAGGCTTATAAGAATTTTTGTGGAAGTCACAAGTTGAATTGCGACATTGGCATAGCGTGCATATACAAGATGATATGAGTCCTTGAAATGGGACATATATCGGATAATTTGGTGTTATCTTGCGTAGTTTTCACAATTACACGAGTGTCTCTATTTACCCCAGAGCATAAAAAGAATTTCTAGTTCTGTTGATTATATGCTAATTAGCTGAACGACTTTAAACGATAACGAGCTCAAAACAATATGGCACATAGAGAGAAGTCCGGGCTATGAAGCGAGGCACTTTTAAACTAATTATCTCCTGGGTTTGGCTCAAAACTGGTCGGAAATTTTCAAAAGATTTTTACATGAGCGTGTAGAAAAACGTTCGGTCTACCACCGTGTTCCATAGCAAGCTTTTACGATCAAAAACGGTCAAGAAATGGCAAAAACAGAACGAAAATTTCCAAAAGTGTCTCTAATTACCCTGAAGTACTCTATGTGTCATGAAACATTGAAAAATTATTCTAAAATCACTTGAGCATAAAGTCCAAAAAAACGTTCCGTTAACTGGCCATTAACGGCCTGTTTACGGTCAAAAGCATCTCTAATCATGTATGTGAAAAACGGCCTAAAATCAGTCCGTTGTCTAATCGCTAATGCCCTGTTTACGGTTTAAAGAATCCAATATGTGTATGTTTTCCGTTTTTCCTCCATCATATTTCACACTATGCAGATGCACTGGAATAAATTGTATGTAAAGTAGTACGTCAGCTTGCCAGCTTGAATAGCTGATAGTGTTAGTTTTCGAATCGATATGGCCATATAGTCACAGACTGACAAACACAAATTCTGATGTTCGAATTTCGATATTGTCAAGTAAGGAAAAAAATTATAGTGGCGTTAGATGCTGTGTATAGTCTAGTACCTAGATTGGGTCGATTAGTGAGAAAG